CTTAATTTGTTTCTTGGAAGCAACCCTATTATTTTGGTTTCAACTGAGTGTCTGTGTTTTTTCATTTTTAGATGTTTTGTTATTGTTATGTTGTTAGTGATTAATATTACATTTTTGTTTATTATATTTTGTTGTATTTTAAGTACTGTACCTACATGGTTGTCTATTAGAATAATTTTAGATTTATTAGCGTTTATGTAGAAAGAAATATTGTAGATACGAATCTTTCCCATCATAACAGATTTACGCAACATAATAATATTATCTTAAAAAATGTCCACACTCCGACACAAAAAACGTTAATTCTTCCCAAACTTCAGATACCAGGAACTTTATCATAATTCATCCTCCATTCATAGCATTCAGCTTCGTTCATCCCCATTCATGCCGGGTGCGATACGGTCTGTGTCGTCACAGCCGTGACGTCAGAGCGTGGGTGCCACTACCTACGCAGACTGCAGAGCAACCACTTTATATGCGATGCGGCAAGTTGAACTTTAAGTTTTAAAGTTTAGAGTACATAGTTGAGAGTGCTTGGGAGAAGTCACAGTAATAAGTCTGGAAACTAGAAGTACTAAAATCCACCCGAGTAAGTAGTTAGTACTGGGTTACAAAATATCTGAGTGTTCATAAGTGAGATAATCTTTTATGAGACCTCTAGTTAAGTATTTTGTACATTTAAAACTTTATGAAACACTACCAGTTTAACTCGAAAGATGCTAAAAATAATAAACTTTGGTTTTTCATGATACACAAGTAAGTATCCTATAAATAGATTCAAGTACCTACAAGCTCTTACACACCCATTTAACATTTCAGGTCATAAATTAAACATGCCTACTCACGTCAGCGTAGCTTTCAATTACGCTCGTTTAACATGTTAACCCTCCAGGGAAATTCTACCATAGTATAAAGAACACAGTAGGTTATCTAAGGCCGCCCGCCGAGTTATTAGCCTACTCTTGCGTTGATCCCCAGGGTTGTCACTTTTACTTTTAGTTAATATTTTCGAACAAGCAGCTTTTATGAAATGAAAAGCATATTATGATTAAATATTTTATCAATTTATAAATTTAGTAAAAATTAAAAGCTTATAAAAAGATTATTAACTTCTTAAAATAAACTTTAGCTCTATACATAGTATTCAGAAAGTAAATTTGGGAATACATTTATATGGAAAAATGCGACTCGGCTACGCTCTTAACCAATCAGATAAACTGTGAAATAAACAATACAATACCACATTTTCTTATAATATTTAAGTAGGTATAGTAGGTAATTACATTTCTGGTTGAGTAGGAACTATGAAGAATGATAAGAGTAAGAATAAGTAAGTAGGTATCTCATCATCAAGTACCTACAAATTATATTATGCTAGAAAAAGTGACTAGCTTACCTTTCCTGTTCAATAGGTACCTAATCTGAACAGAGACAGTTCTGGAATCGATTAATTATTAAGACACCCAAACACACAGCAATACGTTCTTCTACGAGTATCAGACATTTTTTATTTCATTGAACAGTGCCGAAAAGCCGTGAAGCGCGCGCGAACCTCGTACAGTGTCAGCCCTGCCTGGCGCACTGAGAAACGGGTCGAGATTTTGTTAAAGTGTGCGTGCGTCGACGCATAGATACTACGGCGCACACATATAAGCCGCGCGCGGAGCATTTGTATGAAGATAACCTACTTTGTTCTTTATACTATGATTCTACATTCAGCGTACATACATAGGTCTAAACGACCCCCAGTACATGTTCCAACAAGTTTAACCCTGTCCGTGCGACCTTGGCACTCTGGCACACTGCAGCACGTAATTGTTGCAAATGTCGCAATTTTGTACCATTCTGTATATCACCCCACCTCCTGTACATTGTCGCATGAAGGTCAATACTTGATGAAATGGTGTGAATAGAGAGAATCGTGACATTTGGTAGTAGCTTCAAATATTGATTAAAGCTTACATTGTAGGCTCTATGTTAATGAATTCAACAATAGAATATTTGATGATCACAATTCGACCACGTATGTAAAGCATGATGCCCGATCGGGAGCTGCGCATAACATAACGGGTGGCCGGGGCTCCGGCATCAAGCAGGAGGAGGAACGGGGTGGTTTTTAGTCAGTAAGAGCCTGACTCCCTCTCGCCTCACCCAAGACGGGGGAAGTCATTGAATGATTTTCCCCCGACAAAAAATCGTGAACAGCTGTGTAAGTTGAGCTCAAAATAAGTGAAAACTAATATTTTAAGATATGTTATTTTATAAGGATTAGGCCAGAGAAAATATTACTTTTATAAAGACGAAAGTATTATGTTTGCAGTCAGACTTGGACGTAGTTTAAATCATACGAATAGATTAAACTTAGACATAGCACAAGTAAGGTACAACTAGATTAATAAACCATGAGGTTACATGGCCACAGACAACATGTATTTAATTATTCCGAAGGACATTGTCAAGGTGCTAAAACCTGAAATACAGCACAAATACATAAACATTTCGTTCTGTGTCTAGGCTAGTGTCTAGATATATTGGGCAGTCTATCTTATTGCAGAAAAAACTCAAGGACGCTGAATAATTTGTAGACCTAACCAAATTGATTGGACCTCGCTCGGATCTATTTTGCGATATGTATTTGATTGGAAATGTTTGAAAGAAATGTGTGTTTCTATATAGGTGAAGATAGTAGGTAGTTTTATTTATAGTCCATTCATGTATTTAAACAACGATCGTTACCAGAGAGGTGGACTAGGCTCCTATTTTAAAGATTCAAAAGATTATCTTCAAGTATTGACATAATCTGTGTTATACAAGTGTCCATTTATTTTGGTGCCAAAAGTATAGGGTCGGCTTAATTGACAGACTGATGGACAGTTAGACAGGCTCCCAATATACTCTTTGCACGTGTACAGTAATCATACTATGTATGTATGTGTATAAGATATTCTTTTTGGTTTTAGGTAAATTGTATCAGACATATGTTAAAATCGTGAAGTTCCAATTACATATCAATTAGTGATCATGTCATTGACGACTTGATGACATTGCTCTGGTGGTTTTGGGGAATTACATGGATAAGATTTTCTCGGAACTGTTTTTAAATGTATGACGTTTGATGAAATGAAATCAATGCTGTCATCCTGTGTTATCACTGCAACTGAATCCGTACTGTGAATGATTTTTAATGTAGTTATCATTCAATTAAAACATATAGTTATGGATAATGGCGCTACTGATTACAACAGCACATGGTCATAGTATTGTATCAGGACGGGAGAGGACAGGTGGAAAATATTTACGCCATTGGCCTTACCTATTTCTTTAGTAGGTAACCTTTTACTTAAAATAAAGTATCTTTTCTCTAACTAGAACACTTTTGTCAAACTGTCAGTTCAAGAGATAAAACGCGTAAAATGACATCTAGTCCTTTGAAAATTGTTTGAAATTTTCGCTATTCAAAGTAGTCTTACAGTGAAGTAGGGAGCTTACCTCGGCTCCCATTTAATTCACCTGTTTCTCCCAGTCTTTGTCCATCAACTGTCGGATCTACAGGGAAATATTTGGGGAGACTTAGAATACAATGAGTGCCACATAGGCTCGGAATGGCTTTAAAATAAAGCTTTGTACCCAGCGCTTTGTTTTAAGCCTTTTGTGGTGTATTCATTATATTGATATAGTTCTTACACGTGTATGGATGCCCGTATAATTATAATGCTTCTCCAATCTGTCATTTTGAATTGTACTACAAAGAAAAATAAAGTTGAAAATGTATGTATTAAGCAAATATCACACTGAAATGAATACTTATTAACAGCTGTGTTGTCATTGAGATTTTGTGTTAAAAATCGATCTGTAGATATTTATACCGGTGTCTGCAGTGCTGATCTAGGTTAAATTTGGACAAGACGATACTTGCGTTTTGTCAAAAGTATTATGCTCACGTGGTCTTGCCGAAGTTAGACCCCTGATTGCCCAAGGGGAACATTTTTCAGATTTTGACATCTTACCGTTACGTTATTTCAATATGTTAACACAGTAGTTAAGGTCTGAAAGTCATGAAATATGTTTATGAAAAATATTGTATTGGACATTGAGATTTAGGTTGTTATTGGCAAAATAAATCGATTTTTATTGGCATGGGTACCACCGTTACTTAATGCAAAAATATGATTACATCGTGAACGGCTCAAAATGTCGCCTATTTATAGAATTCATTAAAAACTTTTACAATTTACCAAAGTTGTATTATAAAAGGTACCTCATGTACTTCAAAGGTCACGATATAAAAGGTGAACATCATTGTTAAGGTAAATAATTCTATTTTCATCAAATCTATCTGTCTGACCCGACGGTAAATAAGTAAATAATAAGTTTCCAAAATAACATATTTTGTTTAGCTGTTTATATTTCGTCTGAATTTTCATTAATTAATATGTAACACTATACTCTAGAGGTATTTATTTCTAGAAATACAATACAAGACACCCACACAGCGGTATTCATTTAAATTTTTACGGATTCATTGTTAATATTGTTTCCGTGTATAGCACAAGCTAAAATTCATGGAACTCTTAAAGTTAATTGTAGAGTAGAATTCGTATACATTTATCAGTATTTACAGAATTAGAAGGTTGTTTTTTTAATTAATTTAGTTATTTGGTTCTTGGACTTGATAAAGGGCATCAAGAGATTCTCATAGAACTTAAGTAAGAAGTAACATTCTCGTACAACTTACTGTTCGCAAACTTCCATCGAAAGGTTATAATAATTACAAATAATAATAAATTAAATTTCATAAACGGTTATTCCACGAAGGAGACGTAAATAAAAGTTAAATCCTTACCAGCTACTTAACCCGGACCTATGTAGTCATAATGTCCCAAACCTTTCTTGTTGGCAAATTCTAGAATTTTCCATCAGATACCTATTACTCGAGTTTCTATTCGATTATTAGTAGAGTTGCTTTCTTCAAAGCCTTACCATAAATCTTTTACTTCCAGACCAATACACCCTGGACAGCGACTACATCAAGCGGTACCTGGGCGAGCTCAGCCCCATGCAGGAGTCCCGTCTGCTGCAGCTCCGCAAGTGGATCGCTGATCTGCAGAAAGGCAAGGTAAGCAGTACAATGAGTTAACTTAGGTTCAGATGTTGATGAATTTGTTATTTTAACGTTAAGAGCTATGCACCTTTTTATTCAACGGAGCAAAAATGTCAAAGCTGTATTTTTATGTGACAATTTCATACCATATCAAGCAAATCATTGAGAAGTTGAGCGTTCCAGCACTTAACTGAAGTGTGGCGAAGGATACGCCTCCTATTAAATAAGATTAGATAATTACATTATAATTGAATAAGTTATGTGTACAAGAAGTGCTTGCGGATCTTAATAGATAGTGCTCTATAGTTTCTTATTTTATGCTTTCAATTAAGTACCTATTTTAATTTAAAAAAAAATAAGAATTTTCAATTGAAACATTTTCTTGTATTGTAGCTTACTCATTATAACAAACCGCGTAGCTACCAGAAGTCGAAACAAAAAGACAAAATTTAACTCGACCAACGTATGTCACATACTTCGAATGTATTAAAAACATGTGCACAGCGCCGTGGCACTGGAATTTATAGTCAGCTTCGAAACAGTCGAGCGAATTTCGGGCATTCCACACGTAGCGTAGTGGAAGCGATAAATTGTAAACTCAAGCAATCTACCCCGCATGCGGAATAAATTGGGGGAAGGGGGGACATGTGACTAGCTGATGGTAACTGTTTGTTCTTCCTACAGTGTGTAGCGTACTACATAACTTTTAAATTAGAAGGTAACCATTATGTGCCTGTTTTGATATAAGATTAGATTAGACAATTCGGAAGTAGCGAGCTCGGTTAACAGAGACGCTGCTGAGAATATCAAATTGACAATTCACATATTTTTTCTGCTCACGTATAAAGTAACACCGAAAGTCTCATTACAGCTTGGAAAGAACCGAAGATTCGAGAGTTCCGAGCAATAGATCTAAATCTCATTCTGATAATAATTTTGAAGAATAACAGAATTGTAACCAGTATCCAAAAACGTTGGATTTTTGAATATACATACATACACTTCTTTCTCTTCTATAACACCGTTCTTTATTCTCCTTAATCAGGTGCCGAGCGACACCACATTGCTGCGCTTCCTGCGCGCCCGTGACTTCAATGTAGAGAAAGCAAGAGAGATGCTCTCGCAGTCGCTGCTGTGGCGCAAGAAGCACCAGGTCGACCGCATCCTCTCCGAGTACGAGACCCCTGACGTTGTGAAGCAGTACTTCCCTGGGGGCTGGCATCATCATGACAAGGGTAAGAGGACGATAAAGAATTCCAAATTGACTAAAAATCGCGGGGTCCTCACGTGAAAATACTGAGAAAAGCTCTACTAGTTTCGAACCACAGAGGGGTTCTTCCTCGTGAGCAGCGTGTGCGCTTGCGTCGGTGCAGTTACTCGCGCTGCAAGCCCAAATGTTATTATAAAAACACAGTTTAATACCAAATGGAAAATGTGAAATAGTTTAGTACATTAGATCTAATCTAGTTCTCAAAAAAGCGGGTTAGGTTTTCAATAATAATGATGATGACACAAAAAATAATGAATTATTAATCAGTCAAGCTTCCAATACTTCGTAAGGTTTTCGGATCTCAGTTGTGAATTTTTTTTCTTCGGAAACCTTTGGCGGTATTATTTGAAGCGTGGTTAATGTGTAATTATGTGTTTCAGACGGACGTCCGCTGTACATTCTGAGACTGGGTCAGATGGACGTGAAGGGACTGCTCAAGTCCATCGGAGAAGACGGCCTCTTGAAGCTGGTGAGATTCCTATTTAGGGTTTATTAGTATTTACTGGAGAAACCAAGATACAAAATTGTAATTTAACTTTTTCACGAAACCCCTAGGTAATTTTATTTTTTTAATCTGCCTCATTTAACGCATTCACTGCCCAGTGGATTTTCTCCAGTGCCCGAATTATAAGACAGTACAGTACGGGGCACCTACAGTGCCCCGCACGCACTATTGCGTTCAATGTTTGCCCTTTTCGTGTGCCGGAAACTCATATACGCGTTCTTACGGCTCCCACCGTGTGCCCGAAACTCATATATGCGTCCGTTCGACTCTCGGCGAGTGCCCGTGACGCGTCTGTGCGTTTGTTATATACTTACGAAAATACGATAGAATATTATGTATCTGTAGATAAAAGTTAGGGTCATGACACACTGTAATGGAATTTATAATCCATAAGATTATTTATTTTATGTAGTGAAATTGAAAAATTTATCTAAATATTTATATTTACTAAGGATGAACGTAATAATTCTATAGTTGGTAAGTAGGTTTATATTTAGAACATTGTTGTATTTTAACCGACTTAAAAAAAATGAGGTTCTCAGTTTGACCTGTATGTTTGTTTGTACGCGATTATCTCGCGATTGGTTGAACCGATTTTGATGCGGTTTTCAGAAAAACTTCTGTTACATTTAGGGGATGGGTTTAGTATACTAATTAACCTACTTCAAAAACAGGAGGTTGATGTTGGATTTTTAAACGTATGTCACGACGCGATGCCAGTATATATAAATTATAGTCTTTCACCATAGATATTTAGTAAGGTACTTATTATCTCGTATAGGTTTATCCTAAAACATTTCGATAGTTGGCTATAGCGCCTGGTGGATATGGTATTTAAAATCTTCAAAGGCACCGCCGTGCATTGTATTGCCGTTATCAGCAAACTAATGTGATTCTATTGTGCGTATGTAGATAAGAGTCATATGAAATATTAGGTTTCTTGGAAAAACAATTAGGTATCTAGGTAGATTTTGGCTTTAGCTCTCGTGGTATTTAAAATCTTCTAAGGCACCGCCGTGCATTGTATTGCCGTTATCAGCAAACTAATGTGATTCTATTGTGCGTATATGTGTTATGTGAAATTTTAGGTTTCTTGGAAAAAAAAGAGATGATCGAGATAACATTGAAAAAAAATACCACCAAAGGTGATCGTAGTCTTACGTGGATATTTCTTTTTTCAATTGTTCTAAGTATATTTATATTTCGAAACGGCTGAACAAAATTATTGATTATTGCATTGGTAGTAGTAGAATAAGTTTTTTTATAATTCGTACAAAGTGTGTAATGACCTTTATCAAAGAAATCAGATAAGGAAGTACATATGTGTAAATATGGGTTTCGAAACAATAGACCCTCGGACGCGTCGACGGGCAGCAGGTAAAAAAAGGGTCGACGCATATTTGAGTCCCGGGCACATAGCGTCGTGTCACAAAACGCACAGACGCGTCATGGGCACTGAATGCGTTAATATGAGGTTGCAAATTAAAAAGTCCTGGTATTGTATATTTTAAAGACTATTGTCTTCGTTCTACTTCTCAAGAGAAAGATTTAAAAAATGTTCTAAATTGTCATTTGCAGACACTTCACGTATGCGAGGAAGGTCTGAAGCTTCTGGAAGAGGCGACGAACACGAGCGAGCACGCGGTGCAGTCGTGGTGCCTGCTGGTGGACCTGGACGGGCTCAACATGCGCCACCTGTGGCGGCCCGGCGTGCGCGCCCTGCTGCGCATCATCCAGATCGTGGAGGCCAACTACCCGGAGACCATGGGCCGCGTGCTCATCGTGCGCGCGCCCAGGGTCTTCCCGATATTGTGGACTATTGTCAGCACGTTTATTGGTGAGACATATTTTTGTAATATACGCTTGTCTTGTAATACGTATATTTCGGAAATCATCATACGATTTTATTGTCAATATGATACATTTATTTCTATAACAGGCATTTTCAATTGGTAATATAGCTTACAATGAGGCTAGAACGAGGTCAAACGCCTCGCTATCAATGGTGAAAAAAAAATATTAATACATTTTTCTGTCTCAATTTTTGAAATCTTTCTTGCTTACTGCTATAGAAAACATAGCATGTGTTAAACAGACTAAAATTTACAATCATACAGCTACCAGTCTTATTACTATGTATCTCGAAGAAAAAAGACTTATAGTTTTAATTGTTCGTTGTAGACGAGAACACCCGCAGTAAGTTCTTGTTCTATGGCGGCAAGGACTACCTCCAACCTGGCGGCCTGCTCGACTACATACCCAAGGAGCTCATCCCTGACTTCCTGGGGGGACCCTGCAAGGTAAGCGATAACGTCACATCCCTAGCCATTTACGATTAATACATTACTAATTGATGACGCAAAGATGATCATTTTTCCAGGTACAATACTTTCCTAACGGTTAGAAATACCGTTAAAAGCAAATAATATTCCAAATTCAAGTAACTGGTTATGTAATCTTTTTGGATTTCTAAACAAGGATTGCAACGAATGATAGACTCTAATACCCAAATACTCCTGTACAGAGTACTTACTAATTCTATGTAGCATATTCTGGCCAAAGTATGGACCTGCTACAAGCATTAAATTATTACAAGAGGAAGGCAGAACAACAACTGTACTATTTTAATATATTTTAATTGTATATTATTTGCTTCCCGCTGCAGTCGGACATAGTAAACGCAGCGTTAAACGTGCCGCACCAGTATTTCGACTCAGTACGCGATAAGTACCGCGCCCGGCCTCCGGTATCCGAGGGACAATACTTACTAAATACTACCTGAATCATTAGGACATTGCTAGGATTATATTAGCTACTTATAAGCTAAACAAAAACATACTTTTCATAGCACAATATATCTAACTTCATTTTCATTTTATATAAAAATCCTTTTTTCTTATAATTATGTTGAAATGTGATTTGTGATTAAAACCGTAATCAAGTGATGAGACTTCAGTAATAAACTATATTTTGATAAACTATATCATATCATATCATCATCACTCAGCGGAAATAAATTTGTGTTTGACAAAAATCTACCTCTATATTGACTTAAAAACCAAATTCAATGCCACTTCATCAACATCTAAACCTGTAGTAGTTACCTAATACAATTCTCTCATCATCATAGCCCCCTACTACCCCGGATGCCGAGGCCAGGCCTCAGTCAGTGTATGCCATGGTGCTAGTCCTCCGTCGTCACTCTGTGGTCCTCGGTCCTCAGTGTACACGCACACTCCACGCGGCACCACCATCAGCTCAGTTGGTCTTCAGTACACTCTCTGTTGCCATTGTATTGTCAAATGTATTCGTATTACTTAAATATGCTATTTGGTTTAGGCTAGTTTAGGTTATTGGTTGAAGGTTATTTTGTGTCTGTCGCATCGACAATACTTATACAAAATCTATTAAAGGTGATAAATGAGTTAGGTATAAAGCTGCCTATAACTTATAACGCAATTTGCGTTTAAAGGCAATTTATTGGTGCATAATTTTGATGTACTTATTAGAAATTATTTATTCGTTGTCATAATTCAATATCAAGACCATTTGTATTCGAAAACTAATAATCAACGTCATAGAAATTTCTTGTGTCTTCATTACGTCTATAGTAGCTCAACCACTTTGTGGAGTCAGCTTGATACACGGATAAGTCTGTCACTCCATGTCTACCACGTATCACCTAGCGTCACTAGGCTAGACTCACTACAATACATTATTTAGGACTATCAGTAGTAACGTAATGATAGGGATGATGACTTAGAATATTTTGTTTGTTTTATTAAATAGGTACAGCACTTTATCATAATGTTCCCGTAATATAAATTTATAAAGTAATTTTGAGAGACAATATGAGAAACTAATAGTAACCACTTATTGCATAGACATACAAAATTATAATATTATTACGCCACACCAAGTGTGACATCTTATACCAATTTGTGACCCCCTTGTATGTTTACTTACAATTTACCTTATCTTACATTTTATTTATACTTTGGCGTGCAGAAAGATGTAATGTTTATATCCATTTTCAGAGAATACTAGACGAGATCTTTGCACTAAAATCTATTCAACAGATTATGCTCAAAAGCGTAACATCAAACATACCACAATTTTTAGTTTAATTTTAATTTTATTATAACTACTGAAAACAACATTATATGTTGTAAAATTATATTTTGTTTTTATCAGTCATCATCTCTCATTAAACCAGTGTTACTACTGACAGTCTAAAACAAATAACCTACTTCATTACCACCAATATAACCAGTGTTTGTGTCCTCAGAGCTTCGTGCACGAGGGAGGGCTGGTGCCGAAGAGTTTGTACGTGAGCGGCGCATTCACGGAGCGGGAGGGAGACCCTCTCAGTGAGGACAGCATCTACCGATCTGTTAGCTTGGGAAAAGGACAGGTATGTTTTTATATAATAGGATTTAGTTTATGATTTTATTGATTGATGTTTGACTACTTGCATATATTATGTTCTGAATAATCTGTCTACTGGTAGATTTAAATCTAAATATACCAGATTGCTCAATAGCAAGATACAATTATCTTTATATGTTCAGCAGTTTTGTAGAGATTAACGAACAAACATTTTTACAAAAGAAAAGCTTGTAGTTCAGCTAGATTATTTTAAAGTGTTTCAAAAAGATGGCAAAACAAATTATTAGCAGCTCTTTTTGTGGAATTGGGCAACAAACTAAAAGAATCATATGGTAAGCAGTCTAACAAGTGCGTAACTGGCTGTTTGGGGATTGGGGTTTGAAGAGATGGGTATTCAATTATTATAAAGCTATTCAATGACTTTTCAACATCTATCTCATTCCTTCCTGTAGGTCCATGAAGTAATAGTACCAAACCGCGACCCTCAAAGCGTGCTGACGTGGGACTTCGACGTGTTGCGACATGACATCGCCTTCACCGTCTACCGCAGCGACCACGAGCTCTGCCACCCACCCGCTGATACTACAGGTATGGGGTCGAGTCTGGACTTTCCAGGTTTTTGGAGAAATACCTTTTAAGGTTGGGGTGTGAAAAACAGGATTTTGAAATTCTTAGCAAAAAATGTTATATCACTTCGATGGTCGATAGATTACAAGTGCGGGTTTGATTCCCATATTTGGCAAAGTATTACTAAGTTGGTCGGTTTTTCAAAAATATCTGGGTAAATAGTTCGAAGTTTCTATTGATGTTTTATAATTGACACGCGTAGGTGTTAGCTAGAATGATGGATGTTTTGTGCAGGTAAATCTTAATTGACTAGCGAGTTACAGTGGATGTTAATGACTTCGGTCTGGGTTTATCTATACTTCTGGTCTCAATCTCAATACGAAAAGAAAATACCGTTTGAAACATTCTAATGTCTTTTATTCAAAGTGGTTTCATTTCAGACTGCATTGTATGTACTTAAATACATTTTGATGTTTTATTTATAAATCACAATATTTTGTCACCACAAAAACACTCGATCATATGTTTTTAAGCACCTTACTTCACTTTTAACCTCCACTTTTACACCCATCCAATTTATCATTTTATTTTTTATTTATTTTTCTTTATTTCTGCTTCTTATGATTTCGTTTATGTTGCCCATAACACCAGCTATTGATTACAGCGCTGTGTGTAGGTGGGGGGGACGAGGCCAAGTCGGTGCTCGACCAGAAGGGGTGGCGCGAGGGGGAACACTTCCACAGGGTGGAGCCTACACTCGTCTGTCATGATGGGGAGAGCATACAGGTAGGGAGATACTCAACGATGATACATTATAGGTTATTTGATAAGTAAAATAGCTAATTTTCTTTATTTAAAATCGTATTATCATGAAATGCCAACTTACTGCTAATACTATACTGATACTGATGAATTGACAATGCTATGTACGCCATTATGGTCACATGCATCAGATCATTATTTTGTTACTTTTGTGTAATTGAAATCTGTTTGTGATGTGGCAGTACTCCTACGAATAAATAAATACTGTTATTATATTAATATTACTGCAATCTTGCTGTATTTTTATTACTTGTCTAGTAAGAAAGCGTCTGAAGACTGGGCACATTTTGAAGGCAATCTGCTATTGTTATGGAAGGGGTATCGACCACCTCGATCGATTTTTATCAAATTTTTTTGTGAAAATAAGGTTGAAAATGACTAAAAGTCGTATGAAATTACGGGACATACTTTTTTACTTTAGGCCTTAAACTTACTGTTAGTTTAGTCAGTATATAACGTTACGGTGCCCCCCGCAGGGCTCGCACGTGATGCTGGAGGTGGGCAGCTACGTGCTGCAGTGGCGCTGCGACGTGCTGGACTGCACGCACCGCGCCGCGCAGCTCATGTACTTCCACGAGACGCTCACCTCGCACCACTACAAGTATGTACTCTATTTCTTTATAATAACTATCGTGAGACATACTAAATTAACTAATAATCGCGGGTTACTCACGTGAATATACAGAGAAAAGCTCTACTAGTTTCGAACCACAGAGGGGTTCCTCCTCATCAGCAGCGTGCGCGGTCGCGGCGATGTAGTAGAGCGTAGTGAGTAGTAGAGCTTTTGTCAGTATATTTACGTGAGTAACCCGTGATTTTAGTTAATTTATGTACTCTATTGTTTGCGGTATAAAGTTCTATATCTATTGGTAACTTGTAAGCATGTTTTAGAATGGTTTCTGAACTTTACTGTCTTAAAAATAAAGTTGAAAATTTCTTAATGATATGTAAACTACCCCGGCTTAATGTAAACAGTGACTGTAGTGTCGATGCTCTGTAACCCATGATATGATTTTAATCAACTAATAATTAATTTGACGCTTCTCATTTGATAAATACATAAGTATTTAAAGTGTGATCTTAGTCAATATTAGCCAGTTATTAGACGTTGTCTCACGTTATGTTTCATCATCATCAACAGCCTATAAATGCCCACTGCTGAGCAAAGCCTCTTCTCACACGGAGAAGGTTAGAGCATTAATCACCACGCTTGCTCAATGCGGGTTGGCGATTTCAAACTTATAATTAGAAATTATAAGCCCAGGTTTCCTCACGATGTTTTTCCTTCACCGTTTGTCAGTGGTGTCTAAATAATGTTAGAAAGTACATATAACTCGGAAAAAGTCACATTGGTACTTGCCGTTGGTAGGTTTCGAACCCGCACCCTCATGCATGAGAAGCAGGCGTCTTAAACCTCCACGTTATGTTTAGTGCAGTATTATAGATTCACCATCATACCCTCAAATCTTGGTTTACTTACCATCACCAAGCTCTTATTTTTTGTTAGTACCACATTGTAATCCCCGGTATTGCCCCCAGGGGTTCGATGTCCAGCCTTCAATCTGGTACGAGTGGGTTCTCGTGCCTCAGTGGCAAGTCAGTGAGCAGCAGCTGTCCGTCCCGGTGATGTGAGCTTCCATTCCCGGGCGTGGCACCCCCCGCCCCACCACTCACCTGAGCTAGCTGGCAGAAATGGAGAAACTGGCGAAAATGACTCTTAAAGTGGCGAACTAAAAACATTGCAGGTGAATTGATCGTTCCCAACTAGATGGTAGACTAGTTACATGTTACATTATATTAGTTCAAATAATAATTATTCGTATAATTATAGCTGTCGGATTTGATATAGTTATGTGAATTCTTAGTTCGTAAGATTGTGAGGAATAAAATACGATGTGAATTATTAAATATTTTATTGTAAGACAAATGCATAACTTGCAGGCTTTGTGTCCTGTTTATCATTGATGATACTTCATGCGCAGGAGTTGATAGAATGGCTCTTGTGCTTTTGATCACGGCTTCGATTCCCACGTGGAGCGTGGTATTATGTTTTCTGGTCTGTTGACGTTTTTGTGTGGCACGCATAAATGACGTATGAAATAATTATAAGATCTCATACATAAATGAGTTTACATAGGAGCATGGTTGAGACGGAGCGATTTTCAAAAATACGAATATAAAGTTGTGATATCGTTTTAATTTAGAAATAATAATTATTTGTGCGTACTATGTAGTGTTGGACAAGTATACTATTGTAGTAGAAATACAGTAATAATATAATACTTGAATTTTTAACTACAAATAAATCGCTCCGTCTGCTTGTAGCAAATCTAACTCTTATATAATATCCTTCACTATCGTAGCCATAAAAAATTACTCAAACTTTACCGCCAAACAGATTTCAATCTTATAATATTGTGAATAAAGTCTATTTTTCAATAAATAGCTAAATATATGAATAAATTGTATGTATTTAATCGGTCGTATGTAACGCATGTTTATGTACTAACAGAATATAAGTACTTGTGGAATTGAACGTACTAAGTTATATACTTAGAAAATATAAATTATAACACGTTCAATCTAAAAACATCTTTATTGTACACGTTTGAAAGTTCAATTTCGAATAGCATGATATGAAAATAGCGATCGGTTGCTAATTTTTTCATGCTATCACTTTCATTCTAATTGCGTCCTTATTAATATGGATTAAAGTTTAATTTGGATTGGCATGTGTCATTGATTCACAAAATTTTCGGTATGTAGCCTTAGAGCTATACATAAGCATGCGTCATCTACATTAGCTACAGAAATGTGCTAAAATTATAAATATTTATAGCCAAATTATATGCTCAGAGTTATAATATATAAGATAAAACTAAAAGATAAACGATTGGGTACAAAATTGTGTAAGGAAAGTAACGCTTAGTCCAGGAGCCAAGGACGAAGTGTCAAATATTGTCATAGGACTATAATAAATGTATTTATTTGATTCCATTCCGTTATAGCTGGTATAAAATTGAACAAAATAGGCAAAAATGTATTTTTATACAGATCTTGTTTAAAGTGTTGTTGAAATCTTTTAACGTGAGCTCCTGGTCTAAGCTAGCACTTGTGTCATTTAGCGATATAAAGATCACAAATTAATAACAAATATTAGAATAATTCATAAAGTCGGTAAAAAATAACAACAATACTTGTACCTCTACTTACATCATTACAGGTTTAATGTTATGTAATACCTCGGGCCTTCATGGGGTCGTGGGTTTGAGTCCCGAGTTCAGTTTGTATCGCTAAATGGGCCGTGCTGTATATTTACGTGATGCGTAAGGATTGTAACTCAATATTTGAGAATGTTCCGTATTTGTAGCAGAAAGCACATATTTTCCGTACATTGTTATTGTATGTATGTAAAGCTATATTAAAATATATTTAACATATATCTCACTTGTATGAAAAATCTATAAAAACTAGTACATCTGCCTACCCCATTACGAGAAAAGGCAAGTTGTATAAAGTGTTTAAATAAAATCGAACATGGGACTTAGCGGTTATTAAAATAGCGTTATCCGCTTTGGAAAATAGGTCGAGTGTTATAGACAAGCGAAATACAACCTTTCGTGTATGTAGATAGGGTAAAGATTAGTAATGCACCCGTAAGTATGTTATTAGGGTAAAAAGCTGAAATGCGTTCTAGGGAATTGAGAAAGGACTTATTATTATGCTGACATTAAGTCAGCTTTAGACAATTATTATGGTTTCTTAATTAAATGCTTAATTAAAACTAGTTTATTGACTTGATCATGTTCAGCATGATAGATATAACTAGGTTCGATATCTCGGACAGGTCAAGATATTTAAAAATATCAGTAATAAGGTGAGTTATGCCCGATGTTGGGCGATATACTCGCCTCTTGACTCCAGGGAGATCGTTGATAATTGACTAAAACTAAATAAATACTGCTTGGTACATGTAAAATGTATTTATGCAAACATGTTACCAAAAAATATGAGAAGATCCTTATATGGGGCAACACTTCAACAGCCTATAAATGCCCACTGCTGAGCCAAGCGTCTTCTCATACAGAGAAGGTTTGAGCATTAATCTCAACGCTTGCTCAATGCGGGTTGGCGATTTCAAACTTATAATTAGAAACTATAAACTATGTTTCCTCACGATGTTTTCCTTCACCGTTTGTCAGTGGCATCTGAATAACCTTAGAAAATACATGCTAGAATAATAATAATAAACAAAATTTTCTCATCACTTCCCACTTATTTGATAAAAACTAACTATTACTTAATAAAATGTCTACACAGTAATAAAATTTATATGAAAATACTTATCAAACGACCCTCACGACGCATAACGAACCTTACACCATTGATACACGGTTCATATTGAATTAACAACAAGTAATTATCGTTGAAATCAATTATTTTTCAATTAATGTTAGGAGAATTGGTATCTGATTGCGGCCGCGGCCGGTAGATGGCGTAGTAGGTACTATGTAATTAAAATACAAGGTTTTAATGAAAATGCTCTGTAAATGTTGGTTGGACATAATAATATATAATTTTTGGAAGTTAAAAGACGATAATATGTATTTTACATAAAAAATTTCTATGAAAAATATTTATTAATTTTGTTTTAGCCAAGTGCTGAAATAAATTTTGGTCAGTTTCATTCTTGTATTAGTACAGTAATCTGTCAAGTTTATTTATAGGATTTTCGACTTTATGCCAATATAATAAAATTGAAGATATAATGGAGACAGAAAAGGGTAGGTGACCTCCTAGCCACCGTACGTCGGACGCGGTATGCTTACAAAATTACATTTGTTTTAGACAAATTACTTGTTAATTTACACACAATATTTAATGTATTGATTACAATACCTTGAGAAACACATTCAATGTTATTCTAACTATGAAATTATGTAATTAACATGGAAATGAAAACATAATAGAAAAAATTACATCTCAATATATGAAACTTCTTTCTTTTAAGTTGGTTAAAACTCATTGTTAATTGTAATAGTTAATTTTTGTTTCCTTAATTATAACTAGTTAGAGATATTTTGTAGACATAGTGATAAAGGTTATCTACTACAGATACAGCCAAGTTTAAACCTTATGACAATACCATAGAATTCAAATTTCAATGGCATACTACATAATACAAAATCTTCTATCTACTACTAATATAAATAACAAATAAATAATAGAAGAAAAGTTTATTTTTATAACTGACGCAAACAAAAATGAGCTTTAATACAATGTAAATACGATGCATATCCGCTTCAGCTAGATATTTTGTGGAATTGAGAAAAATGCAGTTTATTTTGATACGAAATGTAAATAATACTATTAATGCACACTGGCTTCACTCGATAATAGTTTAATAAACTAAGTTTCTTAATTACACGCAATCAGTGCAAATGCAATCGCATCAAAACTGGTCAAGTAGTTTAGCTATATGCAACACACACACAACTTTTTTTATTGCTTTATTGAGATTTTGTACAGGGATGTTTGTATTTATTTTTATTGTGATTTTATGCACAACAATAGATGATCTGATTTTTCTTACTTTTATTACTCTTTTTTTTGTAAGTAATTTTTGTTTATAATGTTTTCTCTGCTAAATGTGTTAGTACATTAGTGTTATACATATTTTAATTAAATCAATGTTATTAATAAGTTCAAACAGGGCTGGGAAGTCTCGACTTTAGTAACGACAGAAATCAGTTGTTTAGTAAGATATTTCAGTAATAGATTTTCGACTCTATTATAAAAGGATAAGATTGAAAATACTTTAAATAAAGGAATTCAACACTTATCGATTGAATTTTGTCGCTATCAAAGTTGATACTTACCAACCCAGTAGGGAATGAAATGAGTGAACTATAATTAATTAAAAAATATAAAATCATTAGTTGACTAATAACTATTAGTTGTGTGACATCGTATCGAAATGTTTTAGTGTAATATTTGTAGCATAATTACGATTATTTCTTAATTTCTAAATAATCGAATTCTGTAGTGTTGTGAATGAACAATTTAGTTTTTTAGTTTGTAAGTTACAAAATGTTAAAGAAAATAATAATTAAAATAAGCGAAGATCCTATCGAGGTGTTATTTATTTAAGAATATCAGTTTAAGAACAATAAAGTTTAATGTTAGTAGAATTTATTGAATTATTGAAATAAAAACCTTGCAAACATTATATTGGAATGTCGTTTTATTGTAAAGAACACTTTTCAATTGGATAACGGTTGACAGTATGTAAGGTATTTTTTACACCATCATTATATTTCTCTAGGAATAGTGTAAGAGAGTATTACTTCTTTTTTCTTTCTAACAATTTGGTTTTTAAAAGGATGTCGATGGGGTTACAGTTTCGTAGTTGCTCTTCGCACATGAAACTACAATTTGGAATAAGCAGGTAATAACTTCACTGGTAGTTTTTTTTACTAAGTTTCCAGTTTAGAATATGAATGAATAAAAAAAAATGCTTTGTGTATGAGTTTGATTACCGGGGGCTAGTTTCGAGACACAGAACCAGTAGGCTACGCGTCACGCGACATCGCTGCCACCGTACACGCTGCTCATGAGGAAGAACCC